TTTTTTTTTTTTTTTTTTTTTTTTTTTTTGGAGAACAACCCGGTCGGATGCTAGGTGTGCTGATATGAGCAGACACATCTAGCACCTCCAGGGAGGCTCCATCTATTGGTGGGGAGCATCACCTGCTGGAAAGCGGGTCCAGCGTCCAATGGAAACATCATTACAGTGCCACGTTTGTTGGGTATATGGCCATCTTTGAACATGCTCTAGAGCATCCTTCTCTCCCTCGGGGCTGCATATGACACCCTTCCAATTTGCGGAGCTCCTACTTTCTGCTGGCCTATCCCAGGATGGTGTCCGCCTTGCCTTTGTGTGCACTGTCGTCAGTTACCAGTGGTTGAACTCCCATCCTCTGTGTCTGCAACCCCCCCTTTTTGTTGTTTCCCCACGCCTGAGCTATTATGCCCGTTGGCCCCTTAAACCCTACACCCTCCAGCAACATCAGCAACATCAGTCTCCCAGCCTCTTTGTTCGAAAATCTTAGAGAAGCTATTATGTCCGTTGGCCCCTTAAACCCTACACCCTCCGGCAACATCAGTCTCCCAGCCTGTTCGTGCGTAGATCTTAGAGTAGCCGGCATTCCAGTGGCTGAATTCAGGCAGGTGTTTCCAGTATCACGGCTTACTGTGTGTTTGTCTATCTGACAGCACTGGATGGGTGGCTATGAGATGATGCCATATGAGACGCAACACAGGAGCAAGAACCTGACAAAAGCCGAGTGCGTACAGGATTTTTATAGCTGAGACGACCGTGGGCATGCAGGACCGGACGTAGTAATGCCTACTCCAGCTTTAGGAAGAGTATCCGGATTCGAATGTGGGAGTTCGGCCGGCGGGGATCGCTTCGCCGCATGGGCCGAAACATGAAACAGTTGTCCGCTGTTGTAATCCGGCAGACCAGTCGATCCCCATTTGTCGCCATCGCCTTCTGGTTCAGCTGTCTGTATGTTATGGTGAGCTGCCGCCTCCAAACTGCACAGGCCTCCATCTGTACTCTTTCTCCCCCAGCCCGTGACCCGGGTCTGTGTGTCTCCATTTACGCTTCGATGGGTCTGCGGTTCTCGTCTCTTTAGCTGTCACCCCAGTTGCCATCCTTTAAAGACATTAAACCCTGGATCCCCGTCTGACTTTTCACTCGTCCTTTCCCTCCCCGCCCACCCGTTCCCAGGACCACCCTTTAAACCCTAAACCCCGGACCAATTTTTCAATCGGCTGTTCCCGCTCCGCTCATCCCTTCTCAGGGCCACCCTCGGCCCTGTGGTTCTGTACCGACTGCTGTCAAACCTCGAAGACATTTTCGTGGACGACGGCCCTGCCTCCAGTCGTAGATTTGCTCTGTGTAGTGAGCAGGAGTCTGGTCCATCCCTGGTCTCTTCCGCCACTGTCCGCCGGGACGCCGAGAGGGAGGGGGGTCAGAGCGTGAGTGGAAGGGGGGAGGGGGGTCATTGGGAGAGGACAAAGGATGGGGGTACCTCAGTGTGACCAGCACTCAGGACCATTACCTTACCAATGGGCAGCTAACTTGGACCGAACAGCAGTGATAGGCACCAGGGCCGATAGGTTGCCCATCCCTGGTGGAAGCGGAATCGGACGAGCCTTGTTGAACAGGAACTTCGGACGCCAGGCCCAGACAATCTACTACAGGCCCCAAGAGACTCTAGGCCCTAGGTTCAGACAGGGTAGCACCCATTGAAGCAGTCTTACCATCCTTCCCCTAGCTTACCCAAGGCCAGGCGGAACTCGGACTGGCCTGAGCGACTTATACTCCTACCCTTACCCTGGGGTCTAAGCCTTATATAGCCACCAGACAGTTCTATCCGAATATCAGTAGGAACTCCAGCGGCCCTTACCTGTACCTACTGCAGCTACTAGACCCCCCCAGTCTGATAGTTGTGTAGTCCGCAATCTATGTATATACCCGAAGGCTATGTATGCTCTGTGTATCTATGTATCAAGATGTACACACAGCACCATGACATTGTGTGGAAACTTGTGTATGTAGCCCGTAGGCCATGTATAATTTGCAAGCTATGTATATGCCGGAAGGTTGTGTGTGCTCTGTGAATCAATGCATCGATATGTATAGGCAGCATCATGTTTGTATATCGAAGAGAGAACGGGGTAAGCTGGACAAGGACCCCCCCAAGGTCTGAACCAAGCTCGAGCCTGTGACCTTGTAACATGTAATCGAATGACTCTACCATGTGAACGACTAGCGGAAATGGCACGAACGTGTGATATGCCAGACTGGGGAGATCAACAGAACACCCAAGACCAACACCCCCAAGCAATCCATGTGAAACCCAGAACCAACATACAACACCATGAACAACCCTTGGGTGGTGCGCAGGCAGTGTCTGTAATAGTACCATGCATCAGCCCAAGGGGAGTGTATGTCCAGCCGTGCGTCAATCTAACGCCCTGCCGGTGTCCATGCACAAGCCTAGGTTGCAATTGAGTTTTGAACCCACAACATCATACCACAATGCGCATTTCCAACCGGTGCTCTAACCACTGAGCCACATCTCATGTGTTTGTCAGTCACTGTTCTTTCTTGTCTGTCTTATTCCCATCAGTTTCCCAGTTGCCCTCATAACCCCTTTACCCCAAGCTCCCAAACCCTCACATCCCCCCAAAACCCTGCCTGTGTCTTTCTAACCTTTTTTACCCGTTAACCCCTTTAACCCCTTTGACCCCATTAACCCCCATTGAACCCCATAAGTCATCGGCTCCTGCCCTTGTCCCTCACAGTCCTTTCCTCTGCTTCCTCCAAGGTTCCCGTGGCGTTGGTGGCACGCTGCCATGACACTTCCCAGATGTGCTAGAGATCCATGGAGACGAAGATGACCTCCTGGCCGGCTGAGGGTGTGAAGGGAGGGGATTGGGCAGGGGGGGGCGGGGAAGGGTTTCGAGTGGGATTCATGAGGGACGAGGGTCAGGTCAGATGAGGACAAAGTTGGTGGGTTGGTAGTCTATGCCAAAGCTGTCTATCGGTAGGAAGTCCCACTGGTTCTCAGTGGAGAGCCAGGGTTGCCATTGAAGAGCGTTATTTTGATTTAATGTACACAGTCTTTGGTTACGGTCGACCCAAGTCCCGGAGAAGTTATGGATGAGTTGTCGTCTTTTGGGTTCTTCCTCCTCTCGCAGGAGTCTGTCGTGCAAGTACTTCCAGGCCTCTTGTGTCATCACAGTTATTGTGTCCGCTATAGACCCCTTGGCTTGCAGATAGCCAAAGTTAAGGTATGTTGTTGCCTTTCAAACGTGCATTTCATTCGCCAGGCCGCCATCAGTATAGCCCGGCGTGTGAAATGAAACAGGTTAATCATAAATGGCGACCAATCCCCAGCGTCGGCGCCTTGCGGGAGGATGCCTAATAGGAGCGTCTTGACGTGTTTCAAGCAGAGGTGCAGAACAGCCAATCAATCGCGATTTTCTGCAGCTCTCCACAAACATGTTCCGATTCAGGCATTAAATCCAAATTGAATCCTCTTTTCTAGTGGAACCTTGTCCCAGCAGGATGAACATTCACCAAAGTTCAGGTCAAGTTAATTCATTAAAACTTTTGTAGAAACTAGTAAAAATGGAAAGAAGAAAAGGTTCATGCTAGCTGAGTGCAAATGCTAGGCCGGTTTGTGGCTAGCTCCATCATATTTTGAGTCGTGCTCCACCAACTTGCTTAGAGAAGTTCCCTTGAAGAGTCGAGGGCTCCACTGCCCAATTTTCAGAAACTTTTATTCACTGACAAATCAGATTCTCCTCAGTTGCCACCATCTGCTGCAGATTCTCCTCACTGGCAGCATGGTTATCTTTGTCCAAGAACTGTTTTGCAGGTCCGTTGAAGCTGGGACTATACTGAGGCGACCTGATCCCCTACTGCCCCTCAGATGACGACGTCGGGGCTGGAAAAGTTTCCTAAGAGCAGCAGAATCTGTGGGCAGTGGACTGAGTGGAGCCTCGCCGATTATTACGAATTCAGTGCCGTACAATGGTCCTGAGTGCTGGTCACACTGAGGCAGGATAGTGGGATAGGGGGTACGCTAGGAGTATTGACGTGAGGATGGGATGGGAGGTGGTCTCATATTCCAGGACACTCACGGCCCACTGCTCCAGGTGATCACTGTGCACTCAGTGACTGGCCTCTAAAACACCATGGACTTTTACGAAAAAGCGAAAAAAAACAGTACCTTTCCCCGCTTGAAAAACAAATACCCGGCGGTTAACACGAGGGGTCGGTGAAGTGAATGCCCGGTGGTGCCTAAACGCACGGTAGGACCGAGAATGAATGGGGGAGAAAAAACAAACATTGTCAAACCGAAACTCAAACACACAAAAAAACAACAACAGATCGGTTGCTGCCAGACACACGAGGTGCGCGCGCGCGCGAGAGAGAGAGAGAGAGAGAGAGAGAGAGAGAGAGAGAGAGAGAGAGAGAGAGAGAGAGAGAGAGAGAGAGAGA